GCGGCCGCGAGAAGGAGGGGGGCACTTCCAACTCCTGTTTCCCGGATCGGTTGTGGTTACCCTTGTTGCTGCTGCTGCTGCTGCTGCTGCTGTTGTTGTTGTTTAGGGGCAGGGCATCAGCCAACAGGTCGGCGATCTCGCCCGCAGAAGCGGAGCCGAGCTTCGCACTCGCCGCGCTCAGCGGATCCAGCGCCCGCGTCTCGGCATCCAGGCTCTGGAACAGCACCCCCTCCCTCACTCCGCCCTGGCAGAAGCGTATCTCCGCAATCTCCGGGATGGCGAGACACAGCACGTTGACCAGGAACGCGACGGCGGGGACCTGGGCAGCGCGCCGTTTGGAGACGCGGAAGATGCTCTCTTCGCCGTGTTTGTCGGCGCTGCTGCTGCTGCTGCTCTGGGCGGCGATCTCCTGGATGCGGGTGACGGATTGGAAGTCGGATTTGGAGACGCGGAAGCCGTTGATGAGCGGGATCGGGTACGGGTTCGGCTGGGCCTGCGACATGAGCAGGTAGCCCCAGCCGCGGAAGCCGCCGCCGGAGAGGTAGAGCGTGTAGCCGCCGTTCTGCGCCGCGGAAGTCTGGAGCGCGGAAGGGATGGAGAGGGAGGCGTAGGCGGCGCGGAAGGAGGTTTGCATCTCCGAGGCTAGGGAGGCGTGGGCGGCGGAGCCCCCCGGGTCGTGGGATTTGAGGTAGCTGAGTTGCCGCATCAGGGCCGCGGCGCCGTAGGGGAAGCTGATCGAGCCTTGCGGGTCGGTCTGGATGGTGCCGGCGTGCGAGCTCAGCCAGGTTAGTTGCGTACTGCCGCCTAGAAGTAGAGAAACTCAGCTCTCCACCCATGAGACGAAAGGGGAGGCTTCAATCGATGACTGATCGAGTAGATACATACCTCCCAGATCCATGACCAAGCCCTGCACGCCCTGAAAACTACTCGCCACCCCCATCGCCCCGATCCTTCCCTCCATCTCCTTCGCCAGCATCTGCACCCGCCATCCCGTCGCTTCCCGGATCTGATCCCGGAACTCGACCGAGTTGATCGCCGTTCTCGTCGCCTCGGTCGCTAGGACCTGGATGTTTGATTCCGGGACCCCGAAGTCGGAGCACGTGATCTTAAAGCGAAGTAGGGCTTCGACGACGGAGTCGATGGTGGATTGCGGGATGGGGATCCGGAGGTGAGGGTTGCTGGGGTTGCTGTACTGCGCGTCGTAGAGGGAGACGCCGAGGCGGGATTGGAAGACGGTGGGGAGGGAGCGGGCGGTGGGCGGGGAGAGGTCCGAGATGGAGAAGCGGATGCCGTTGCTGCAAGGGGTGGGATGGGGAGTAAGATGATTGTGTATTGGAATCGGTTATTGGCTTTGGGACGACGGGAAAGAGGAGAACAAGATCAAGGCGGATGGGGTTGGTATTGGTAGGGAAGGAAAATGGAATGAGAAGGGATGTCACACACCTGCCCATATCCACAATCCCGTGCAGATGGCTTGGGGAAGGGGGAGCCATGTTAACCCACCGGCGCTGCAAGCGGACAGTTGAGATCGCTTTGGCAGAGTATGAATCTACAATATAGGAGACGATATGTACTGGGCTTCAGCTTTGGATTGAGACAGCTGTATGTTGAAAGCTGGTTGGTGATTCATCCGTTCTGATGGCCTGGAAACTGAAACTAGGATTCTGTATAGATATCTTCTTGCAGGATACCTTTCCCGGAGATTGCACATAGGATTGCACATAGGATTGCACATAGGATTGCACATAGGACTGGTAGCGTAGCTGATGGTGCCTACGTTGAGTGTGGAAGTTGGGTCACAAGTGCAAACTGCCTGTTTAGGAATTGATTCGCCCATTCTTGGCAGGGGGTTGGAAAGCCGGCGTCACTGCAGTGGTGAGATGCAGGGCTGCTGCTGGCCTTGCAAGTTCACCAGAATCAGTAGCCAGGCAATAGGCAATACAGCTTCCTTGCCAAATTCTAGTCGGTCTATTCCAACCAAGCTCAGCCTCTATGAACCGAGAACGGTAGCTCGTTCTCCCGGAAGATGGACAGAACACATTGTTTCGCATACCAACCCACCTCAACATTGGCCACTTGATCTCCCACGGCCGTTCGTGCGTCATGACATGTCTCCATGCTCCAGTAGATGGCTTTGATCCTCATCTGGAGGATGAAATGCGTCTCCAAATGCCGAGTCATCCATCCCCTCTAGATTCAGATCTCCATGCTCGTCCCCGAAATCCACCAAGTCATGCCCAGTATCATCCAAATTCGCATCAAACCCACCTTGTCCAAGATCGAAATCAGCGGTATTCATGTCTTCGCCCTCACCCAGTTGCCCGCCGGATGGTTCAGCAGGCGTTAGACCTTGGGTGGCATGCGCTGTCGGAGAATGTGCGAAATCTGATGCGGCAGGCGGGCCAGCCCTTTCTGTTACCGGTTCGGGCACCTCAATTTGCGCCTCAGCTAGTCCTGGCGCATCTTCTTTCCTGATGTCTGCATTTAGGTCATCTACCATCACCCATTCACTGCCCTCATTCTCCACCGTCTGTGTTTCGACTTGTCGATCATCGTGATCAAGGCCGGCCATTTCAATATCAACGTCCATATCATCGAGTGAGGGGACTGTAGACTCTTCCATGGTGGTCTCTTCTCCTGCTGGTGGTTGGTTTTCAGGTCTATGCCCGTTGGTGACTGACTGTGATGTTTGAGGTGCATTCGCGCTGGGGTGTTGCAGCTGCTCCGCCTCAGGTGATACCCTCGTCTCAGTGGTGTTGGAAGCTTCAGTATTTGAATTATTTGTCTTGTTCTCGATAATAGCATTTTCCGGCGTTGGCTGTCTATTGGAAATGACGGCCGTTGGCGTTTGAAGCCTTTCTTCCAGTCCCCCTTTTTGAACGCACTCAACAGCCGAGACTGGCTTGATCTTCTTTCCACTGGCAGTCTCGACATCTCGAACAATATCGTCAATGTTCGCTGTGGCTCTCTGTCCACTTTCTGCCTCGCTATTCCCGAAAGTACTCGGCTGGCCACCCTCCGCAGTAGCTGCCCGTAGTTTCTTCTCTGCGCTGACCAGGGACAATGATCTGTCAAGCTTGGCCATTCGTCTAGCATGTCGTTTTTTCAGGTGCTCCAACTCGGCCTCCATTTCTGCTACCTTCTTCGCTGCTTTTGCGGTGAACTCCTCTGCCTTTGCAACTTCCATTCTGCCAACGCTGAGTCTTGATGCATTCGCGGGCGTTTCCTGAAGCACCGACGTAGGCGTGTCGAAAAAACCACTGGTTAGCGCTTCAAGCTCACCTTTGCGACCTAAACCCAGATCTGTAGGCAGAATTTGCTTCATGGCAAATGGAGAAGACATGATCTCTTCCATCCACTCGTGATGTTGCTCATATCGCATTCTGCTGATCTCTCTTGGAGTCATAAAATCCAACATGTCACCTCTAGATACGTCTTCCTCCTCTTCTAGTGTCGGCTCCAATGCGTTGCTGGGCCCTCGACGGTGCTGATTACGCTCAGGGACGCTCTTGATTGGTGCAGCGCCCATCTGGATCTGTGCAGCAGCAGCTGCTGCTGCTTGTTGTCTGGCTATCATGTGTGGCGGGTATTGCAGGCCTTGCGAAGACGGCATATTGATGGTTGGCCAATTGGCCTTATCATGAAGCATAAACTCTTTCCTGGCCAAGTGACCCTGACTTTGAAGAAAGCGACGTTGGCTCAACGCTGTCTGCACATTGGGCTGCAAAGGTAATTGACTGGAAGGTATGACATTTTCTCGATCCGCCCGGGAGTAGTGTATAATCCACAATGACGGGTCGCAAGGAGGGGCGTTGGAGTTCTTAGATTGTGTCAACCGGTATCTTTTTCTACAGTGGGCTGTGAAGGGTTCGTTTGGCCAGTGATAACCCCCTCGATGTAGCCACATTTCGACCATCTGTGGACCTATCAGCCAAAGTCGTTGGACTGCCGAGAAGACATGCATACATAGCCATTGTGCTCAGAGTTAAAAGCATGTTCTGCGTCACCCCATACATAGCCATCACTTGCGAAGTTGGCCCCTAGGTAATCGAGAGGTTGCCAAACCAGCAGTACGGTTCCATCTGGCGGGGCCTCGAGGAACTGCCAGACAACGGGCTGTAGGTCGTGTACAATCTTGGGAGCTTCTGTGAGGTAGCTGACTACAGTATCGAGTGACATTTGATTCAAGAAGGGGTATCGATACTTGGAGACCAGGTGCAGGTGCGGAAGCAATTCACGTGCCACGCCGGCCGCGGGATCGCGCAATGGTTGCTGCATTCTTGAAACCTGTAGCAGATGGGACAGTACTAATCGGAGGCCTGCATCGTGGCGATTCGGGTAAGTTATGATGTCCTGCAGCAATGTGGTTGGTGTCCAGTGCTGGTTTTACCTTATACTACTACCTGAGCTCCTTCGAGGCGCGTTTGCTTGGCAGTGGATGCCCCGGAAGTTGCCGACGAATTTCCTCTCAAGCCTCTAATAACCTACACCCGCCATGATACGTAACAGACGAAACCCTGCAGCTGCAGCTGCAGCTGATTGATGCCTGATCTGATTTTGATTATTCATCGGCTTAGCGAGCAAGCCTTCAGGTAAGTCCTTGGGGAGACTTCGGAGATATGGCTTTCCATCTACATAACACGTACGGCTTGAACTCGCACTCTCTGGAAAGCTAGTACTATCATTTTGGTTATTCACTTCCATTTCAAGCTCTTTGCGAATCAGCCACATTGGTTTCACTTAGGTGCTCCATACCTAAAAAGGTCTTTATCTAGCGACATGGCACAATCGAGTCAATTTCTTGCTATATGGTCTGCGGCCAAGAAGCGGTATGCCGAGGTGACAGGGATGGATATGGATGGTGATACCTTTCCACACCCGTCATCTATACGTGATCTCCAAGCCTCTCTGGACAAACAAAATGACAAGTTCGAGGATTTTAGGAAGAGGCGGGCCACAGTCTTTGACGTTTTGGAGGGAGCTTGTAAGCCTATTGAGCTCGTCAGTAATATAGCAGCCGGCGGGGCCGCCATGGCATTCCCTCCGAGTACCCTTTGCTTCGGGGCTATCACCTATCTCATTAATGCCGCAAAAGGAGTATCGGCATCCTACGATGCTATCATTGATATGATGGGCACCCTCAAGGATTTCCTAGTGCGATTGACGCTGTATGACCGAGAACAGCTTCCAACCGAACTTCAGGAGAAGCTTGCTGAGATCCTTGCCACTTTGCTGGAGGTGTTCGCGCGATCTACGAAGGAGGTCAAAAGGGGTGTAGGGGGAAGGCTTCTTTCCATGGGCAAGCATGTGCTGCGTGGAAACGACAAAAAGCTTGATGACCTTGTCAGCAGGCTTGATAAGATGACATTGGGTGAAAGCCAGTTGGTTGGCGTAGAAACGCTCACAGAAAGTAAACGGACAGGCAGGAAGGTCGACGACATCTCGGTCACCCTGATTGAAACGAAAACCAGTATTTCCCAAGGCAACCACAAAATAGGCGAGCTCAACGCCAATGTGCTGAACGTGCGAGAAAATGTTGGCACCATTATGGCGGTCCTAAACGAGTCCAGGGCAGAGGCGAATGAAGGAAGGGACAAAAAGCATATTGACAAGGCAAAGAGCATACTCGACCCTTCACCCAACCCAGAAGATATCTACACCGCCATTGACAGAACTCGAGTTCCTGGAACTGGTGACTGGATCAGAAAGGAGGCATCGTTCCAAGCTTGGATGAATCAGGACAGCCCGGTGCTCTGGGTCAGTGGCATCCCGGGAAGTGGGAAGAGTTATCTCTCTGGGAACATGATCTCATATCTCGCTCGAGAGCACCCCCAACGTGTTCAACATGCGTCACACACGTCCGTTGCGTACTTCTTCTTCAAAGATAACAACCCGCGAACGCGAAGTTTCAAGCAAGCGTTGAACGATCTTGCCTTCCAGGTAACGCAGAACGACCCAATATACGCCAAGTACATTGCCTCCAATTTCCAGTCGGCTTCGGAGATTGAAACACTGCAAAGCAAATGGCGACGGTTGTTCGTGGACTATTTTGTCAAGAAGGAGAAAGTGGACAGCAAGGTTTATCTGGTTCTTGATGGCGTTGATGAGGCTCTGGATTCCGAGCGACAGGAGTTCTTAGAGCTTCTTGTAGATCTCAAAGATGCCAGTCCGAGCATGTCCCGCACCTCGAGCATAAATTTGGTAATGGTCGGTCGGCCACAAGTCATCAAAGACATCAACGAAGCTTTGGAGGGATCGATTCCTACAATCTTTGTCGATTGGCGCAAGAACAATCAAGACATCATCAACTATGTCAGAGCAAGCATCAAAAAGTCCAAGGCGCTGAAGGCAACGCCGAAAGATCTGCAAGAGGAGATCATGCGAACTCTGGTGCAAGGTGCAAATGGTATGTTTCTCTGGGTGGATTTGATCATGCGAGAGTTGAGCAAGAAATCTCATGTGGGAACCATTCGGAAGAGTCTGCATCAGGCACCCAAAGGCCTCCGGGAGATGCTACGCCACGTCTTGGAAGGCTTCAGTTCCAGTCTTACCGAGGAGGATGCCGCTGATCTGAATTTGCTTCTCATGTGGGTGACCTGCGCTGCAACACCATTATCTCTGGGACAACTCGACACGATTTTAAAGCTACAGTTGCCCGAGGGAGAGGTCGTGTTGCTACTGGAATCAAAGCTTCGCAAGCAGTATGCCTCCTTTTTCACCCTCGTTCGTGAAGATGGTCTTTCCACCGCGGATCTACAGGCAGGGGGGTTAGCCTTGGCGTTTAACGAGGACGCTGGCCAGAGGAACGACGAAGAGGGACTCGATGATGTTGAGAACGATACCGACTTCGACTCGAATCGTGATACTACAATCGTCACGTTCTGTCACGCTTCAATTGGTGACTTCTTCCGTGACAAGAGTGAAATGAAGGCTCGATCCGGACGTGAAGACCCTGAAATAGGTGTCAACATCGTTGAAGCCAGAATCTGCACACTGAAGACCTGTCTAAACTTGATTTGCGATCCAGGCCTGGCGAAAAAGGCCGAAGACTCTGCATCTTCCATTATGCTGCAGTATGCAAAATTGCACTGGCATACTCATCTTAAAGAAGCTGTACAAGTTTTGGATGATGTAGTCTCAATGGAGAAAATAGAGGTTGGGAATCTACTGCTTAAAATGCTACGTGATGAGGCCGTTGTTTTTAAATGGTGTGGTGTACCGGCGTCGTCATTTTTTACTTTGGAAACCCTGAATCCCATACGCACGTGGCTGGAGCATTCGGACGTACTTGGTCGACTAGCTGAAGGAGACCGTCTATGGGTAGAAACAGCGAAAACAAATCCGGGAGAGTACTACCGTCCGACTGCTAAGGTGTTTGCAACACAATGGCTGGAAGATGCGTTCTGGGTCCCTAAAATATGCATGCTGGTCGTTCATAACATCCTAAATATCCTCCACGACCGCACGGACAACGATATGCCCAAGCCACTTGAGGCAGTCCCGATCTCTGTCATTTTGACCGCTGCGGAATGGCCACAACTTGAGAAGACAGCATTATGGCATAGAAGGCTGGCCATGTGTCTGCGAGAATACAAGTACTATGATGAAGCAATGGAGCACTTTCAAGTAGCATTAGATATCGATCCAGGCATGTGGCTAGCTTACGGCGGCATGGGGACGACTTATGCAGCCCAGAAAAAGTATAAAAAAGCCATCGAACTACAGAAACTATCGGATTCACTCATAGAAGGGTTGGTCTCAGGTAGGTTGGAGACGAAATCGAAGGAACAAGACAGCAGATCCGGTCTTACTGCCAGTCGAGGGATTGCCAACACCAATATCGCCAGCTATTACAAGGCAACGGGCGATTCTAATAATGCCCTGAAATTTTACAGGAAGGCATTCGAGTTCCAAAACCTAAACTACGAACTTGCATATAACTGCATCGAGATACTTGCAGATAAGAAACAAGGCTCTCATGACATTATCCAACTACTGAAAGGAATGCAGGACATGGTGCCTGGCAGAGACTGGTCAAGGCTAACAGCCATGATCTGGCAGTACTTTTGGTGGGATGAGCCATTCTTCATCACTTGCAAGGAGACAGCCGAGGTCCTTGATATATTGCCCTGGATGATAGAAGTTTACGAAGTCGCAGCATCAACAGCAAGAAAGAATCGCAACTCAGTGCTAGCTCTATCTCTAGAGATATGTATTTGCGAACTCTACCAAGCCGCCGGTTATGCGGAAGAGAAAGTGGTTCGCATGTGGGAAAGGATTCTGAAAGTAACCAGCAATCCCGGCGCCATGGAAAAATCGGACATGCAGGCCTGCAAAGACTACGTTGTCACCAAATACGCCCCATATTGTCTTGAAATGGCAAGGAAGCTCGGAAGCGCCACGCCTGAAGCAATGCAGTGGGTCGACAAATTAGAAAAACTGTGCAAGGTCAAGCAGAAGCCTACAGCCGACGCCCCGGAAGTGATTACGACTAACACCTCTGCCGTATATCTGGGGCTATGGTATCGTGAGACTGGTCGTGGTGAGGAAGCATTTGCATGCTTCCAACCTTTCATTAAGGAAGCCCTGATGATTCTCTCGGATGATGACCCGGACAATGATGTAGGTGGCTTTTATGACCTGGCTCATGCATTGGTGGCAGCAGGAGATGAGGAGAATACTGTAGCTGCTCTGCAATCCCTCCAGCCGCAGTTGATCGATGAGAACCAGGAGGATGGAAATGCTAGTGCTGATGTCGAGACTGACAGTAGCGTTGGCGAAGAAAATGATAAAGGTGGTGATGATAGGGGCGACAGCGAAGGGGGGGAGGGAGAAAAAGCTGAGCACAAAAGCAGTACGGATGAAGACATCAAAAGTACTCATTCAAATGAATCCTCCATGGACCAAGATAGCGCTGGCGACGGCGTCAGCCGTAACGAATTTCCCCTGTCTGAACTCATGAGCCGCTTGGCGAAGGCATCACCCGACGATCTTTATGAATGGCCATGGTGCTGTGACGGACCCTGCGGTCGCTCGTTCCCAATTTATGCTGAAGCAAATTTGTGCCGCATGTGCTTATTAGATATCTGTGACGACTGTCTAAAGCTGATCAAAGGTGGCGATCCGCGAGCGAAGAAGATATGCAGTCCAAACCATGCTTGGCTGCATGTTGATGCTCCAGAGCAGGAGGTGAGCAAGGGCCAGATCTTGATTGGTGGGAAAGCCATCCCGTTTGAGGAGTTTAAGGAGCGGTTGAGAGTCAAATGGAAGGTTTGAAAGGAAAAAGACTAGAAACACTCCCCCCAGGAGCGCCGAACGGTTTCAATCATGGACCACAAACCTATTGTTGTCAATCCGGATTTTGGGAGGTGACTTATTCCTTGCTTTGGACACCCTGTCATGCGGCCCGCAACAAATAAAAAGCATATGGGCGGCTGGCGTGCACCTAACATCCAACAAGCGGTCAAGATATCTCAAGCATTCAGATTTGAACAACGGAAAGGTCGGACCTTCTCAACAGCAAACCATGGCGATAGCATGCCATATTCTATTTACATAAGCAACGTACCGAAGGGGACACTGCCTGTGCCCAAAACCTGCTGGGGCGCCTGCCTGCCTGAACCCAGAATCCTACCTCTACCTAGCGAAGGATACACATGATGGCAGGCAAAGGCGAGCATAAAGAGAATCATGAGGTTCAGCAGTCGAAAGTTTGACAGTGTCACGTTCATTACTAGCACTCGAAAAGCGTCCCTTGATTTTAGGGTAGAAGAGTCTTCCAGCATGCAAAATGATATTTACCTCCATGAACAAGCTAGTAATTCTCATGAATCTGTCTCGAAGGGCAAATTACTCAGCGTCTCCTTATACGCCTTGATAACTTTCGGACAGAATGAATCTGCAGGTGTATGCGTCCTGCTGTCAAGTCCTCCACTCTGACAAAGGGGGGAAGGAAGGCCTTCGGATTTGTCGACAGAGCTGTTGACTATTTCCAGTGCATATCTCCTCGTTTACAATGTGCAATCTCCTCCGAATCTCCCTTGCACCAAAAAAAATATATATACTCCGCTTTGGCCGCGTAAACATCAGGGGTTGAAAACTATAACCTCCAGACCCGGCGGGCGTGAATCCAAACAAGCACGTACAAGAATGATTCCAAGTCGTACCGGTATGTGTGCGCAGCCTTCTGCAGCACCTGAACGATGCTGAACTCCATCGTCCCGGTCTGGTGTCTCGCTCCTGACCGTCCGCTGCCTGGGCCACGTCAAATGCTACCAGAGACTTAGATATCCTACATTTCGCTGGCTGTGGCGACAGTAGTTAAAGGCCATGTCTTGTCACAAGCTGGTGATCAATTGGAGTTACTGGCGAATCCTCCAGCAGATGATCTTCCTTCCTAGGTACCAGATTGGCAAGCGCAATGGTGGCCATTGAGGAGGGATCTCAGACATTACGTGTTCGCGCTCGTAAGGAGGACGAAGTACAGGCGCGTGGGCTTCCCCATTACGGCTCCCTCTATCGGTATCTCAATATAACCGACGCTGCCCTCTCAGCCATTGGTTTCGTATAGCAAAGAAGACTCTGAAAGATGCTGAAGTTGAATCTAATCTCCGTCCCGAGTTTGGTAGTGGATGGAAAGGTGTCTGTGATGGAATGTGCGGATTTGGCTGTTTAGTCTGCTGATTTTACAAGACTTTTGGGACACTGGGCTACTATAAACCTCCATGAGATGAGATATAAGATCTCAGAGTGATGAAGATTGCGGGCGTGGACTCGAGGCCGTTCCGGATACTTATCGCGTCCTAACGCGCTATACCTGAATAAGTAATGCAAGGGGCATAAGCGACATATCAGCATCATAGAAAGAAATCCACCGACGAGGAATAGCACATCGTTAAGATCCCTTATCAAAAGCCGCTTCTGCTTGTGATGACAATGAGCCGACTATAGCCTTCGCTTTCTTGCAGCTTTGCCGAGCTACCTTTACATATTCACCGATGAGAACAGCGTAAGAGCTAGGTAAGCTAGAGCCTAGTTGTTCTCTCTTGTGAAGCTTAAGAGGTACGGCCTCTTTATACACACCTCCTCGCACTACACCACTTACTAGATACCTCCTATTCGAAGATGCCAACATATGCTCTACTTGGAGCTACAGGCTCAACCGGATCAGCGATCTTACGATGCTTCCTTTCGCAGCCGCCAAAGTCTCTCGCACTCAATATCTTCGTACGATCCGAACCCAAACTCCGCAAATTGTTTCCAGATCTTGAGAGCACGACCGCCTTTAAGACTAATATTATCGAAGGCATACCAAGTGACAGTACCGCAATACGAGAATGTCTAGAGAATGTCGACGTAGTGATGGCATGCATCGGGTCGAACGAGAGCAAACGAGGCATGTCCCTGAGCTACGACACCGCCACCGCCATTATCGACGCCCTAAAGTCGAACCGAGAGACTCGAGGTTCTGCTTATAAACCTCCAACAATAATTCAACTCCGGAGCGCCTCGCTGAACCCGATATTGAGCGCTGCTATGCCCTGGATCGCTCGGAAAATGGCAGGCTTCTGCTTCCACTACATCTACGAGGACTTGGACCGAGCTTGTAAACTCTTCGCCTCTTCCGCAGCAGATTCGCCGGGGTTGCTAGATTACATCTTTATAGACCCGCCATCCATTCACGACGCTGATGGCACGATGCCGACGGGGTACAAATTGATTCTAGACGAGAAGCAGGAAGGAGCGCTAAGCTATGCGGATCTCGGAGCAGCATTTTGCGAAGTAGCGGAACGGAGAGAGGAATTTGCTGGAAAGGGTGTTGGTGTCACGGCGACAGGCACTGTGAATTTGACCTGGGGGACCTTGCAAGGGTATATGGCTACAGGTGCGAAATCGAGGATATGGGGTTGAATTATAGCAGCTCTGACCGTGGTCTTATACTGCTAAATGACACGAGGTACATATGAAGCGCGAGAGGATCTTTTCGGAGAGAGTGCTGATGCACTCCTCTGTTCAGCGCTGATTAACCATTTCTCGCTGCCTGCATCAAAGTGCAACTTAGACTCCGAATTTCATGCAGCGTATTGCTCGCGCCGTTGCAAGTCTCGCAATGCTGCAGGAGGTGTCGCAGGAGCGTTATGTGCTCACACCGATCAGCATGAGACTTCGTGACGACATCGCACAGGCAAGCCTCGCTCGTAAGTACTCCGGCAAAATGTCAGCCTACGGTTGCAGATGTATCACGAGTTGCTCTCTAATCCAAAAGAAATGCTTGACAATGTGCGAGCACCATGATGAACCTGAACAACTATTATCAAGAGCATAGCTACACGTCGCCGACGGATGTGAAGAACACCCAAGCATATTCACGAGCGCTTTCAAGGACATCGCCTACTTCGAGTGGCTCACGAGGTTTCCAGCACTCTACACAATCTTCAACAAAGCCATGGCTTTCGCACAGCCTAACAGGCGTGGATGTGATCGCAACCGCCTATGCGTGAGACCAACTTCAGCCAGGTCCGGACGGAGTCACAGTTATTGACTTTGGCGGAGGGAAAGGACATGCGCTAAAGGAAGTTATTCGTCATTATTCCAATATCTCAAGCCACGCCGTCCGGGAAGACCTATAGAATGTAGTGCCGACTGCACTCCCGTGCTTGCTGCAGCCGTCAAGGCCGATTTCTTGGAGCAGGATCAGCCTGTCAAGGGTGCGGCAGCGTACATGTTTCGCCACTGTTTCTGCGATTGGGCGACGAGTACTGCTTGAAGATTTTGAAGACTCATTTTCCGACGATGCAAGGATATCAATCAAGGCTCTTGCTGAGCGACTTGGTCATTCTGGACGAGGGAGCATTTCCGTCCAAGACATTGCGGGACATCAACATGATGCCATGCAGTGGAAAGGAGAAGGGTGAAAAGCAATGGCACGCGCTTCTCGACAACTTGAAGGGCGGGTTCCGCATTCTTAATGTCGATTGCAAGGAGGATTCAAATAACAGTCTCGTTGAGGTTTTTCTAAAAGATTAGATAATTCACAGCTCGAGGTAGGACGGAAGCTTGCCTTCTTAATATCGATTGCAAAGAGGATTCGAATAATAGTCTCGTCAAGGCTATGCTGAAAGATTAGAAAATTCTTCCAAACTCAAGACAGGGGCGGCAGCCTGATTTTTGTTATTTCTTCCTCTGACATGTTTCGGGTTGCGGTCGTGTCTCGTACAAGCTTCCGGGTTTTCATGTTAGATGAAGGATGGCATGGTATGGCGTAGAGGAGCATTGCCTGCAAAGATTCTCGAAATTTAGACATTGCTACGATGCAACCTATTTTCGAGATGACTGCGTCTTTATACTCCAGTGTGAGAGTACACGGGCAGATCTAGCTTTCACACATTGCGTCGATTTGACCCTTAACGATCAGACCAGTCCCGCCGAATGAAAGACCCAGTACAGCGGTGGTAGTATGGTCCATACACAACCCCTCAGTATCGCTAACGGCGCCTTGAAATTGATTCTTGTCTTTCCGGTCGGGACCACGCTCACGCCCACCCAGTCCCATTCCGTATCGGCTCTATCTTTCGACCCGCATTCGATCATACCCGCGGCCAAGTCCAAGTAGCTCAAAAATGTTTCGTCCCTCTCCGTAGTCACTGCGTGACCCGACTGCTTGTCGTGTACGAGCCCTCCCGGCTGTACAAAAATAGCGGTCATCCACGAGCGGTGCAGCGCGTAGTAAGCTTGTGCGCGTTGAAGGTCGGCGTAGATGTGACTGAAACCAGTCCAGACCAAGTACCGCGCCCAGGTCGGGGTTTCGCGGCAGAGACGGTCATTGATGGTTCCGCTGCTGAGCACAATGATCCGCGGCAGCGCCGCCGAGCTCTTCTGCACACATCGGATGTGACTCAGTGCCGCCACGACCGCATGCCCTGTTTCCAGCGCAATGGAACATCCCGGCGTGTTCTCTTCCGTCGCGATGCACGAGAAGACTGCATCGCAGGGAGCGATACATTCAGCGAGGACGGGAATGTCGTTGAGTGACGATTCGAAGATTCTAACGCGCTTGTTGTCTCGAAGCTCCGACGACTGCCCGTGCAGCTTCTTCGCGGAGCGTACGAAGCAGCGAACTTTCACAGAGGAGTCTTTCAGCAAAAGAGTGAGAATGGCTTGACCCGTGTTGCCGGTTGCGCCGAGAATAGCGAAGGTAGGCATGCTGTTGAGTCTCTGCTTGCACTCTCTTCCACAGAATGACCCGCTTGTCGATGTTCATAATTGATGTACCCATGCATATCAATCTGTTTCCTCAACTCGTGACGTCGATCGGAGCTCACATGCCGATGCTGCAGTCTGATTGGCTGCAGCTCTTGACATCATCAAAGTCTACAGGTGTGGCCCTTGATGAGGCATTGGGGTCTGGATACATGAGGCGATCAGTGTTTTGGCTATGTTGTCCATGATACCGACGTCATTCGCGTTACAACTCACTCGCCAGATCAGCAACCACTTGCTCAACAGTATCCAAGCAGAGCCAGGAACAATGCTCGGGGCCTAGACGCGGCTCTTAATATGCTGGAACTCGTGTATGATCGCAGGGAGTCCAAAGCGTTGGGTCTTTTTCTCGTGCGCTACATGGAGCAGTTCCGTTTGATCTAGCATTGGATTAGTCCGGTAAGGTCCACTTTCACTAACAAATCGATGCTATAATCAACGACCTAGAACAACTCTGTGCCCAGCGAGCCAAAAGACACCTCTCTAATACGTCAAGCGAATCGCTCAATTGGTATTGGAGCAAGCTTGCTCCGTACTACGCAGCTACTTCAAGACATTTCGCAGTTAATTTGACACGAAATGGTGATGCCAGCAGAGATTAGAAAGAGGTGGTCACTGTTGTGGAGGGTGGGCAGTCCTACTTTTTTTGGCATGTAGCTCTAGGCCGTGATCAGAATTCGCCCTACTCCGTAACCTTCCCAATATGAAAACCATGATCACACAAATATACCATGGTCACTTCTAGAATGCAAAATCGACAGTCCAAGCTGAAAAAAGTAAAGCGTTGCAAAAGCACTCGATTGTGTGAGTAAAGTACTCATGCTATACATGAGATATGGCAGAAGGATAAGGTGATGTACTAACATGGTTCCGTTCTGACAGTAAGTGATGAGATAGACCACCTTTCTAACCGAAGGTCTTGCCTAGACACTAGGGCGATGTCTAACCAGCTTCAGCTGTTGGTTATGTTTCAGGTGCTGTCTCCAAGCGCCATTGGTCTCGAAGCTGAGCGTGTGTTTTAGTTCGACCCGCTATTTTGGTACCCCCGAAATCTCGGAGAGATCCACCCGAAAGTTCTGCCTACATCTTCTCAAGTCTGCCCTGAGTGGACAGAGTAAGATAACTTTCCGAGCTACAGAAACAGCACCTTATCGAGGATGGTAGGCAAGCAGTATTGAAATATGTACTTGGCAGCATCTTCACGACTCTCGAACGAGGTAAGATCTGGATCACGACATATTTAGCGTACTTATGATCCTATTGTACCACCCACCCCCATTGGATGGCACCTGCTTATGGCACCTGCTTATGGCCTCAGCTGCTCACAAATGATGCAATTGTTGCTACTGCGAGCTTCAAGCTTTGTGAATCGCGCAATACATCTCTTGAGATGGTGCATATCATGCGCTGATCATCGAGGAGCTGAAAAAATACAAAAACAGTATGCAGCCCAACCTATGTACCCGTCCTGACTTGCAAAATAAAACCGGCGAGGAGGTATCTTTCATTCGTTCCATCGAAATCAAGAATTTGCATCAGACGGCTATACTTGCCTCGAACCACGTACAACAAACCCACGTTTTGAATCGAAGTCACTTGACAATTCAAGCTCGCCTGGTGCTAAGAAATGAGAATATCTCTGATTCTCACAGCTCTTGGAGCGGCCATTGTACAAGCAGCATATCCAGGTGACATTGTGCAGTATTGGTCGGTCCTCCAATGAGCCTTCTGGCTACAATCGTGGTTTGAGGTGAAGGTGCTTACCTGCAACATAACAGGGTCGACCAATCCGCTATTCTGGTCAATGGTTCGATAATTGGAGGACTATCGTCACCACCATCAGGATGGTTTGAAGCAATCGTTCAGGGCGCCGTTTACATTGCGGCACTCGACAGCCGAAGTGAGGCGCTCGCCTTCCAACAACTCGCAGTCTCCCATGCCGCCCACGACAGCCTAGTTTGGATCTTCCATGGTACACGCTTGTACGCGACTGTTGACTCAAAGTTAAAAGCTGTACTTGCGCCGATTGGAATCAACCAGTCCTCTGTGGACTACCAACGCGCCACTAACATTGGACAAAAGGCTGCGGTGAACATCACGAGAGCGCGCAGCGATGATGGCATCAATTATTTCGTAGACTATATCCAGCAACCTGCGATTCCAGGGGTTTATGAACAAACTCCGGGTGGCTCGCCCATCCCGGATACTCCACAGGCCCGGTACCTTCGCCTATTCGGTGGCCTTGGTGATGTGACACGTTTTAGGGCACCACCTCCGCCATCCATCAATTCCTCTGGCTACGAAGACTTCCTACTATATGTGAAGCAACAAGGTGCACGAAACTCAACATTTCGCCGGTCATATGATACGGAGACAGCTTATTTCTGGCGAGAGTCCAGTCCAATGTAAGAAAGACTCTGCCTGGGTCAGCCCGATACTGATCTCGCCCAGAGGGTGGAACAGACTTGCGCACGGCGTTGTAGGCAATTCTCTCGCTACAGACGTTGTTGCCTCTGCGAAGTTTTATGCGCAGTTGAACTACGCCCTCGCGAATGCAGCTATTGCCGCCTGGGACGCAAAGTGAGCGGAAGCCTTATTTTATCCCTCTCGAACACCGTGTCAGTACGAGAAAGTGCTGACAATACTTCATCCAGATTCTTTTACAACACATGGCGTCCTGTGACCGCTATTCGAAGAACCGACATCTGGTTGCCCAGTGGCAGAAACGTCTCCGATCCAACCTGGACACCACTTCTCACTCCCACGCCAAGTCATCAAGAATACTTATCCACGCACGCGACATTTGGCGGTGCCGCAGCTGCCGTGATACGAAATTGGAACGGCGGCGACGCGATCAATATCACGCAGAGCAGTAATGTCACACTAGACAACATTGGCGTCATCACTCGACGAATCACAAATTTGTCGGAGGCTGCCAAGGAAAATGGTGATAGTAGGGTCTTTGGTGGTGTGAGTCTTTCCCTCAATTCCGCAATTCACAGCTCTATAGGAAACTCACTGCTAACAAAATATTCCGGGGGTATGTAGATACATTTCCAATTCGCTTCTGACGTGGGGAGACAGGTTGGTGATTCTGTGGGACGTGAAACACTTAGGCTTTTTGACGAGAATTGGGCCAAGTTCTAATCTGGGCCAAAATCCCAAGCTTGAGACAAAGCCGGGAGGTAAGGTGCCCTCCAAGCGACCAGTACTCTTGTACATACTGAGTACTACTGGTGCAAAATCTGCTCTGTCCATGCATGCATGCATTGTGAAACCAAACCCGATGCGATTTGCGCTCTTGAATCGTGGCCATGTCTGCGGCTTTCAAAATATGCCCTCCAATATACCCTTCATCCACTGTGCTAGAATACTGGCCGGGGGGTAATCGGACCGAAGGACCTCCGGACATACATAACCCCATGATTCGGCCCGGAGGCCATTAGAGTTGGTGAGTCGGGTACGCACGGAGTAAATCATGCGAGGCAGCCGCGTAGAGACGGGATCCTTATATTTTTAGTTTATACGCAAGAACCGGGGGCTAGTAAAGAAAAAGTATCAAACCGGGACCCACTATATAAGTAAATTCTTAGGTAGTATCGTCTCCGACCATGTCAAATAGATACCAGTTATGGAGTAATAGTATAGCCATACGGAGTGAGTGATGCTTTGTTACGAATTCCTCCTCCTGGCTCAGTCAGATGCAGCCAAAGAATTCGGGATTTTTCTTGTTATTTAGGTACTTGAAGCTGACTCGTTCTTGTGCCATGCACGCATCAAAAAGGTACAGTATTTAGCAGCTTGCCCGCGATCGGTTTCGGATGGATCACCCCGATCATGATGTGAGGACGACGACGGCGATGATGCCTGGCTGGCAATGTGCTTGAATGTGGGTCCAAGGATTTATTTGTCATGCTCTTGTTGAACCAATAAGTTAGGATGATGGTGCCTGCAGGATCTTTCCAGCGAGCGAGGCTGTGTGACAGCGATCGTGAGGTGAGGTAAGGGCGGAAAAGAAGAACCAGATAGAGGATAGAGTAGACAACATGCGCACTTTGTGAGAAATACCCTTTGGTTTTTGCAAAGTCTAATCTGCGAACCGCCACTGGATTGTATAGTATATATAGATATAGATAGAGATATTCGGTTCTCGGCTTCAATCTCCTGGCTCCTTCGGCAAATTTTATACCAACGTCCATTCTCATAGTCAGCCAAGCGCAGCTCTTCGAACAAGAAATTCTCATACTCGCTCTGCCTCGTATTGGCATGATACAGGACATCCTCCCTCGGTAGTCTCAACGACTCCCTTGATTGGAGTAAAGCTCCTGACAGCTGTCCCTCGACATTGTGGGATCCCCTCTTGAACCTTCCAAACAAACTCCCTAGAGCTGGGTTGTCACGTGTTGCTGGCAACCCCCCAATCCCTGCTTGGAGAAGTTGGCATCCCTGCAAAGCTGTCATAACTGGCTGGAGACATTGAAGGCCACACATATATGCCCTTCTCGCCTCCGATCGTTAGGAAGTTTCGGCAGACCAGATCCCATGGATCCACAAAGAAACTCAACTTGGGTTTGTTAGAGGATGTAGCAAATAGCGTACG